ATGTTACCACAGGGCATATTACCTAACGTTTCAGCCGTTGAGGCACACTTCGTATTTTCTAGAAACTCAACATCATCAATCGCGATATCACTGAATGCAGTACTGCCAACCACACCTTCAAACATGACCTACAGCAAACAGAAATACAAAGTCTTAAAGACACATTAAAGCAAGAAAAAAAGTATGTTAAAACGTTTCCGACGTGAAAAATGTGTCACCCGATATCTTCGGGAAAAGGGAACCTGTTAGACAGCATGTCATAACAAACACTCTACCTTAAGGTAAAGGTAGAGCTCCTGTTTATAGAACGAGAAAGAATGAAAATAAATGCTTAAGAGAGGTGGAGTCTTGCTATCAACACAGTGGGTGATAACATCTCGAACAAGTAAAGAGGCAATTGAAAAGAAACCATGGCCCGCTGTTTTTCTTCGCTGATATCTGGAATGTCAATTTAGAGATGACTGATTGTTTCGGCCATTGGTAGCTTATTTACCCCACTCTAGTTTTTAGACTAGAAGAAACAAAATTATCCTACCCTATATATGCCATCAAAATCAAGGGGCACCGTCGCTTTGTACCAACTGTTGCCTTGGTTGCCTGACAGCTGCCACAAAACCTGATCTCCAACCTTTACTCTGAGGCTACCAATTGAATGTCCATAGAGATGATAGTAGAAAACCATGCACGTGGCGTTCCCATTGCTTTGTNAAGAAGAAGTGTCAGTTATTTGTCGATGCAGCCAAAAAATAATATCTGTGGGTTAGGTGAGTTATATTGACATATTAAAGTTGATAGGTGCTGCAACATTGAAAGATAAGAGTATTGTTATGATTATTGAAAAGTACGCCAGAGATCAAGATTTCATAATTGTTGGTGGTCTTACCTAACGTTTCAGCCGTTGTTGTACACTTTGTGTTTTCCTGAAACTCGACGTCATCGATAGCGATATCACTGAATGCAGTACTACCAACAACACCTTCAAACGTTACCTGCAGCACAATAACACCAGAATAGGTATGTATGTCAAAGGTTTTCGTCATCCACACTGATAGAGTTTTCTCAAACAAACCTGAAGAGGAGCAAATTCCTAATGGTATGAGAAGTGCATTATTGCTCCCTATTCAGTCCAGTGACGGCCATTTATCTCTTCAACGACGCCCGTTTTATTCGCCCTGATTAACACCCTCACTCCAATCCTGTTATTTGATTTAAGAACGTTGGGAGAAACAAATTTATCGTACCTTATACGTGCCATCAAAATAAAGGGGCACCGTCGCTTTGTACCAACTGTTTCCTTGGTTGCCTGACAGCTGCCACAAAACCTGATCTCCAACCTTTACTCTGAGGCTACCAATTGAATGTCCATAGAGATGATAGTAGAAAACCATGCACGTGGCGTTTCCGTTGCTTTGTATGTATGGTGACACGAGTCTAGCAGTTTCTCCCCTGCTTCGTCCTGATGCTTCTATGTAGAAGTACAGTCCTGCAATGAAACAAAGAATGGTCGTTATTTTGTTTAGTGAAAACCGATGAGCCCTTGTTCTGTAACCCTTTAAGCTCCTTTATTGGATGCACTCTGAGAAAAATTTAAAGTCGTGTTTAGGAAAACACCGAGGGGAAATAACAGGATCAACATTGAAGACATCACAAAAGATCGTGACAAATGACATGATTTGTAATGAAAAAAGGTGTTATCTAGAATATGGCAGTAGAAGCAAGTGGCCCTTACCGGCCCCTGAGGTGTGATCCCGTGACGGTCCCGTGTCACGTGATGGAGTTGGACCAAATTTCCTAGTCCATGTAAAGTCCTGGCTTCCAGGCCCATTTTCCCAGCCACAATACCAGATGTCAAAATTGCAACTTGCATCTGCGAAGAGAGTTTTACGCCTCTTAGTTTTTAACATTTGTTAGTTTGGTCTAAATTGGTCAAAATGTGACAGTGAAAAAAGTGTCAAACAGCCACCAATAAAATCACAGTTAATATAACGTGAGATTCCGTAAAATAAAAAT